CAGTGCTACCCCTGCAGATAGTCTCCAAGTCATCAATGTGGTCACCACTCATCAGCGCCACCTCTGCAGGTCACATCCAACTCAGGTAAGTAAGTATCTTCCATAGCCAACCTTGAATGAACACTCTCAGCCTCAATCCCTTCCTCCTATGATGCATACACACTCTTCAATACTCATGAGGATCTACTCTGGATACTACTCATAGCTACATACTATCCCTCTACTACTAATGCTAACTCGCTGGGCAGCTATGGCTGCATCACTTCCAGCGTACAGGCATCTTCCTCCCTCCAGCGCGTCTTCTCCTCCAGCGCTGCTCCTCCTGACTCAGCGCACAAGTGCACCAGCACTTCCACGCATTGCAGCCAGGGGAGATCTGGCGAAGAATGAGGCAGGCAGCTCTTTTTATAGTGCTGGCCACTCCTCGCTGGGTCTGCATTGGCTCAATTCAGCCTCTCCCTTTGTCCCAGACCCTGCATTGCATGTGTCCCGGTACAGTCCCAATGAGATTCAACTGCTGATGAGGCACTTCGGCCTGGATTTGGACTTGAAAGTCTGGATCTGGACTGACCCCTTGACTTAGACCAGAACTGGGACTGTGCCTACTGACTTCACTTTCGGACAGGCACAACTCTAAACGAACAGACACATTTACGACTTGAACAGGCACTTTCCATTGCACGAACAGGTATACTGCCTACACGTACAGACACACCCTTACTCGAACAGACATGACATACACATCTCCTGGTGAACAGGTAAGTCTTTTGATAATGCCCTTTGCCTTAGATTTAGATGTGCCTGTTGATAGAGAACTTGACTTTTGACCTGTTTTCACGTTTCTGAGCCCTGGCAAGATACCTTTTCACAATGCTTTACTTTTACAAGGCCCGTGCTGCTCTATTTTTACAAGGCCTGAGGCCTATATAGGGTAAAGGCCCTTTTATAGTTGTCTGCTAGTATTACTGTCCTGCAGCATCAACCCTGTTCCTTTGTCCCCGGAATACTGGCGTCGAACGAGGGAAGTCGAAGACAAGGTCTACGAAGACCGGAGATGAATGGGACGGAAGGACGAGAGAAATGGAGGGTCACGGCGATGGTGGGGAGAAGCTGGGACGATGATGTGTCTGTCGTCCGCACGAAATCCAGCAATGCTTCCTCCTCTCTCAATGTTGCGCATCGTTGGGGCATTCTCTAGTGTTCGGTGACTTCTGGTGCGTCTGATGATCTGTGCCTTCTTGTCAAGTTCTCGGTGAAGAAGTTACTTTCACGATTGTCTTTTCATGCTGGACATGGTGCGGTCCTGATATTTTTCCTCTTTCTATGTCTACTGTCTGTGCAGGTCGTGCGACTTCTGCAGCTGCGGAGACCTCCCCCCGTCTTTGTTGGGTACGGAACACACGTGCGTTTGTTTGGAAGGTATTGCGGGTATGCCATCCTGCATACATCAAACTACCTTTCTTTACATTGCATGCAGGGGAGAGAGAGAGAGAGAGAGAGAGAGAGAGAGAGAGAGAGAGAGAGAGAGAGAGAGAGAGAGAGAGAGAGAGAGAGAACCATCACATTCATTTGTATAACCACCAGTATGCACTTAGACCGGACCTTCTTCATTGTTGGAAGTTGGAACCCACTTTTGTGGGCCACCCAGGGGTTGTCTTTTACCTGTTCCCCCTGCCCCCCGTGGCCTAAAGACCCTGTCCCCCTACCGTTGTTAATCTGTCCGAACTCGAAGGGGAGAGAGAGAGAGAGAGAGA